AATGATCTCAAACTTATTCTTCCTTCAACAAATCGGCATTACCCGTTACCACCAATCCTTCAATGAACAAAATGACCTTATTGAAAAAGGACTCGTTCGAAGGTTAAAAAAAATGAACCCACATTGAGAATACTCAGATTATATGCTAATTTAGCTTGATTCTCGTTTCTCAGAATTTCTTCGAATCTGTCGACGCCACTTCTCTGCTCTGAAATCAAATCGCGCTCCAATGCTACTTTATTTCCACATCCACAAATTGCCTCATGCTCCTCGCTTTCGCGATTGCTTCGTGTTCTTCACTTGTCTTGGGTGGCTAATCTAGTACCATTCAGGTAATAAAAATAATTGCGTACTGCGCATATTAGCAAACGAAGATGGTGCTTGATATGGATTTGTTCCGTGAAGAGAAGGGTAAGTAAATTTCTTAACTTTTGAATCCCCTTTCCCTTTACTATTCTAAAGTTTATCGTTACATGTCGCGACTGATTTGCTTGCCCATAGCTGATCGACGGCTTTCTCCAATGCCGAACACCATTTTTCTGAATTTCTAGGTGGAAACCCCGAAATCATTCGTGCTTCGCAGAGAAATCGCTACAAAGACCCCGCCTTAGTTGACAAGGTGATTGAACTGGACCAAGCTTGGAGGAAAGGTGCTTGTAAGATTACAACTGTTTTTGAGTTAATCTTGAAAACTTATTTAGCACGATTTCTTCTTGATGTCTTCAATCGCCAGAAGAACGTGCTTAGCAAAGCAATTGGTGAAAAGATGAAGGTAGTAAACCTTGGCTCTTTAAATCTTTTCTCTTCAATTGGACTTGTTATTATAGAAAAAGGAAGCTCACGGCACTGACGATAATATAGATGCTTCGATCACTTCAAAGTTGGATTCGTTGAAGATTGAAGACCTCAATGCAAGCATATATTCTTGTTTCTTACATTCCGTTTTCTCTTTGATTCAGACTTTCAGGGTTTGTCTGTAACGCAGATAAAGAAGCTGCGCACGATCTTGGATGAGAAAATGGCTGAAACAAAGGTGAAAGTTCTGTGTAAGAGAGTTTGCAGAAGACTGAAACACACTTGTAGATCTCAATGG